TGGCCTATATGGGTCTCCTATGGTAGGAGATCAAAGATTTGGGATGTTTCGTGGGCATGCTAGTCGAGTCGAGTTTTGGCTCGACTTGTATTTGACCCTTCAAACACACTCGAAATATGCGACCTTAAAACACATGCTCTCACTTACCTTTAGTCTCTTTCCACCCTCTCTTTCTCCCTTGCCTGCCACGTCCCTCTAATGCAGTGGGGTGTGTCCACATGGGCACGTAACCCATACGCCAACTACTTGCTCACTCTGTTTCCTTTCATCTTCCATGTGCAATGCATTCCTCCCATCCTGTGTCGTTCTCTCTGCATGTGAGCGTGCAACAGCAACTCTCCCGGGTTTCGTTACCGCTCCTTCAGCTGCAATGGTGTCGGTGAGTGCTGCTGTGCTGGTGGTACTGCTGTATTGGTGGGTACTGCTGTATTGAGTGCCTTCCAACCTACCCCTGAGTGCCTTCCAATCTACTCCTGAGTGCCTTACAATCGCCCCCTGAGTTCCTTTCGATCTAACCCTGAGTGCCTTACAATATACCCCTACCTGCCTTTCCTGAACCTCCCTTGCTAATTCACAATCACTGGTCTGCCTTGCAATAGCCCATGGCCTACCATCTGTTTCCCCTCTCTTCAACCCATCTTGCCCCTGACCCCCTCTATTTCCCCTCTCTTCCCCTTCCCCTCTCTTCCCCATCTTTTCCTCTCTCCCTGTGCTAAGCTAGCTTATTACCCCCCTTGCCTGGCTTCCTTTCTCCCCTGCCATCCTTCCTTTCCCCTGCTGCACCCACCTTCATTCTGTTCCCTCCTCACAACACTCCGTTTTCCCCATTGATCTTCTCTTCTCCATCCTTGCATGCCATTGTTCCCCCTGCCTTCCTTCAGTAGCCCTCCCCTGTGCAGATCCATCCCCCCTGCTTTTCGTCCATACCCCATTGAGTCCCATCTACTCCCTCCTTTTGATTTAAAATTTTAACCTCCAAGTAGCATCTCTCCCCCCTTGTATCCCCCCACTACGAAGCTCCATGGCCCCTCATCTACCTCTCCCTGACCCTGCTTGCCCATTTCTGCCCACTTTCTATTGCTCCCTAACATTTGTGCCCCCTTACAGTTTAGCCCTAGGAACACCAACGCAAGTGTTGGCTCACCTCGGGAGCCCACCCCTGTGCAGATCCATCCCCCCTGCCTTTCTCTCATACCCCATTCAGTTCCATTCATTCCCCCCTTGTGTCCCCCCCTTACGAAGCTCCATGACCACTTATTCACCTCTCATTCACCCGTTTGCCCATTTCTGTCCACTTTCTATTGCTCCCTAACATTTGTGCCCTCCTTACAGTTTAGCCCTAGGAACACCAACGCAAGTGTTGGCTCACCTCACGATTGGAGATACATTACAGAAGAAGTGTGTGGGAGACACATGGAGCTTTGTAAGGATGTGGGAGGCAGACACAAGGTGGACATTGAGTGTTTTGAGACGTCTCAAAACACCCTCACGAGTGGAGACACAGTGGCTGCACTCCTACACCCGACCACGAAGTCGGCTCCGCCCAAGCGAGGACGGGGCCAACACACAACTCCCGTTGACAGGTTCTTCCCCTTCCCCACCCCTCTCCCCCCACCCCGCCTTCCCCCACCGCCCTCCCCCATGCGCGCTCAGCCTGTGCGCCCAGGGCTGCCGCCGTTCGCCATTCGCACGGCCTGCTGACAGCTGCTTCAAGCACCGACGCCGACCGTGAGTCACCCACCTAACTTCACCACCGCCTGAAACGCATCCTTGCCCGTCTCCTTGCCCTCAATCTTCCAAAGGGTGTCATGGACTCACCGCTCTTGGCACTCCTCCCATTCACCGCTCACTACTCAACTCTCACCGCTCCTAGCGCCGCTCCGTTTGATTCACCGTGCTCATCCATACTCCATTCTCTTCGCCTTACTCCAGTCTTGTATTGAACCATCCTAGGTTGTCAGGATTATCCCTCTCATTACTCTGCGTGTGCGTGCTCCGTCTCACCTCACTTTTCATCTCCTCCTCCTTTTGTCCTCGTTCCATTATTTCATCTCTGTTCCTCCCCTCCTGGCTCCTCTGTTTTTCTCGCTGGTCACTGTGGAAACCATCTGCCAGACTCGTGTGTGCAGCGGGGTTGCGGCGCCAATGCGGTGTGTGTGAAGGACAGGGGCGTCGCCAGCTACGTCTGCAACGTTGGATTCTCCATGACCCCCACCGGCTGCGTTGGTGAGTCAGTGCTACTCGCCATCACACCCCTTCTTAGAGATTTATGATTTTGCGTGGGCAATTCTTTCCTTCATCTGTTGTTCTTGTTCTCTCCTCACTCGCCCAACTCCCTTCCCTCTTCACTCATTCCCCAGACAACTGCGCGCTCAAGGCGTGTGGCAGCAACGGCAAGTGCATCAAGGACAGTGCTGGAGTGGCGTCCTGCGTGTGCAACACTGGCTTCGTGCTGCAGGCTGACAAGGTTACATGCACTGGTGCCTATGTGCTGATGTGTGATTACAAAGCGACAGTCAATTGTTTTGTGCCTCTTTTGCCGATTCAAGTATCAAACACTTTCCACCTTCTACATTCTCTCTGCTTCGTTCCTTATCTCTTAAGTAGGGCTTGCCTTCCCCACTCACTACTGTGCGTTTCTACCCTTCCGCTTGGCAGACACTTGTGTGCTAATTCGAAGTGCGTGAAGAGCGCTGCAGGTGTGGCGTCCTGCGTGTGTGACACTGGCTTTGGCTGCAGCCTGATGGCGTCACATGCATCGGTATGCGCCATGTGTCATGTGCCTTTTGAGTCGGCTCAAATGTGCGCGATTCCTTGTCCTATGCCATTTGCCATGCCTTGTAAGTGCAATGTGCCTTACTAATCACTTCTTTCGTGCCTTACTGTTCTGTTTAAATCACTTCTCTCCGTGCCTCCTTTCAGATACGTGCGTCATCAAGAACTGTGGTGCCAATGCTGCTTGTGTGAAGGACGCTCAAGGCGTTGCATCCTGTGTTCGCAGAACGGGCTTCCAGATGGTGAAAGGCCTTTGCATTGGTACGCATCATCTTTCCGATTAGCCGTGTAATCGTTTCTGTTTTGCTCCGACTAGCCCTCTCCCTCGCTCCCTCTTTCACTCTGTCCTTCCCCCTCTCCCTCGCTCCCTCTTTCGCTCCCTCCTTCCCCCTCTCCTTCCCTCCCCCATTATCCCATTCCACTTTAGTTCCCCCCTCAAACGTTGCTGCTTATCCCTCCCTCGCTTGGCCTCTTTCAACCTAAACCCCTTCATACCTCTCTCCTCGTTCACATCCCTTCTACACCATCCGCACCCATTTCCTCCACTCCTCACTCCCCCCCCCCCCATCCTTCCTCCACTCATCACTCCCCTTCCCTATCCGTCTGCCCACTCAGACACCTGCGTGGTTCAGAGCTGCAGTGCCAACGGCCGGTGCATCAAGGACGAAATCACTGGAGCGGCGTCCTGTGTGTGTGACACTGGCTTTGTGATGCAAGAGGATGGCAGGATGTGTACCGGTAAGTGCCCTGCCTTGTGAGCTGCCATGTGCCCTGCCTTGTGAGCTGCCATGTGCCCTGCCTTGTGAGCTGCCATGTGCCCTGCCTTGTGAGCTATCCTGTCTTGTTCTTCAACGTGCGAAGTATTTCAAGGGCTATGCCGCCATGCTGTTGCCGTCATGCTGATGCCGTCATGCGGATGCCGTCATGCTGATGCCGTCATGCTGATGCCATCATGCTGATGTCGTCATGCTGATGCCGTCATGCTGATGCCGTCATGCTGATGCCGTCATGCTGATGCCGTCATGCTGATGCCGTCATGCTGATGCCGTCATGCTGATGCTGTCATGCTGACGCCGTCATGCTGACGCCGTCATGCTGACGCCGTCATGCTGACGCCGTCATGCTGACGCCGTCATGCTGACGCCGTCATGCTGATGCCGTCATGCTGACGCCGTCATGCTGACGCCATCATGCTTACGCCGTTATGCTTACGCCGTCATGCTGATGCCGTCATGCTGATGCCGTCATGCTGATGCCGTCATGCTGATGCCGTCATGCTGACGCCGTCATGCTGACGCCGTCATGCTTATGCCGTCATGCTGATGCCGTCATGCTGATGCCGTCATGCTGATGCCGTCATGCTGATGCCGTCATGCTGATGCCGTCATGATGACGCCGTCATGCTTATGCCGTCATGCTGACGCCGTCATGCTGACGCCGTCATGCTGATCCCGTCATGCTGATGCCGTCATGCTGATGCCGTCATGCTGATGCCGTCATGCTGATGCCGTCACGCTGATGCCGTCATGCTGATGCCGTCATGCTGATGCTATCATGCTGATGCCGTCATGCTGATGCCGTCATGCTGATGCCGTCATGCTGATGCCGTTAGGGATGAGCAAAGGGCGAACACGAACGTGTTCGTGTTCGCCCATGCACGAACACCCCTGATCGGCGAACCGAACACTGTTCGAGATGCAGGCGGATAATACGTGCAAGGGTAGGTTCTGACAGTTGTGCTTCTGTGTTCAATGGCTGTTGTGTGCTTCTGTGTCACAGCTTCTGCAGCTCTATTCTAGCCCGTGCAGATGTGTGCTGTTGTGCTGCCTCTTGCAGTCATTGAGTTCTTTGTGCATTCCTGTTCGTGTCTCCGTCTGCTGCCTTTTTTTCACCCCAACTCCTCCCAGATTGGTGAGATGGCTTTTCGTGTGTCAGGACGGACGGTGACGGCAATCAGTTCACACATCTTGCACACTGCGAGAAGTCGCCCGTCACAGGAGACCCATTTTGTGCTTGCAGTTTCTGGATGGATCCTTTTTATGCAAACTATTATGACTGTGTTGGTAAGTTCCACGCGTTGAGGAGTCAATGCTAGCTGACCCATTGTGCTGCCATCTCTCGGTCCCTAGACCCCAACCTGTGGACCTCCTACCCGATTCGTTCCATCCCTGCCAACCTCTTACCTTCTAACAATGACAGTCCCCCCGACTGCCTTGTTGACTGCCATGTTGACTGCCATGTTGACTGCCGTGTTGACTGCCGTGTTGACTGCCGTGTTGACTGCCGTGTTGACTGCCGTGTTGACTGCCATGTTGATCTTATGCTTGCATGTTGTAATATGCCTCTTTGAAAGCTTGTATGTGTTTCTGTTCTCCTGCTCTCCCTCTCCCCCACTCCCCCTCTCCACCTCTCCCCCTCTCCACCTCTCCCCCTCTCCCCCCCTCCACCTAGCTCCCTCTCCCCCTCTCCACCTCTCCCCCTCTCCACCTCTCCCCCTCTCCACCTCTCCCCCTTTCCCCCTCTCCCCCTTTCCCCCTCTCCACCTCTCCCTCTTTCCACCTCTCCCCCTTTCTCCCTCTCCCCCTTTCCCCCTCTCCCCCTCTCCCCCCCCTCCCCCTCTCTCCTCCCACTCTCCCTCTCTCCCTCTCCCTCTCTCCCTCTCTCCCTCTCTCTCCCTCCCCCTCTCCCCCTCTCCCCCTCCCTCCCTCTCCTCTCTCCCTCTCCCCTTTCTCCCTCTCTCCTCCCCTCTCCCTTTCTCCCTCTCTCCCCCTCTCCCCCTCTCCTCCTCTCTCCCTCTCCCTCTCCCCCTTTCTCCCTCTCTCCCCTCTCCCTCTCTCCCTTTCTCTCCCTCTCTCTCCCTCTCTCTCCCTCTCTCTCCCTCTCTCTCCCTCTCTCTCCCTCTCTCCCCTCCCCCTCTCCCCCACTCCCCCTCGCCTCCTCTCCCTCTCTCCCCTTACCTCCTTCCAAACATCTTGTCATCGTCAATCTCGAATCCCACCACCCACGTCCCCTCCACCCCTCTCCCCTCTGCGCTGCCGCCACCCCCACCCAGTGCCGTCATGCCCAAAGGTTCAGTGTGGTATGAACATGCACTGTGACGCGGCATCAGGGACGTGTCTTTGTGACGATGGCCTCGTGCTGGACCCGGGTTATGGTTGCACGGGTACGTGCTGAGTGCTGTGCATCTGTGCTCACTTGCTGCGCTGTGCTTCTGTCTTGCAGCCTCTGATCTAGTGCGTGCCACTGTGTGTGTGACTGGGTTACAAGGTGCAGCTGGATGGGGCATGCATCTTCAGCCCACCTCCACCTGAAGGCCGTGGGTGATGCTAGCTTGACTGCTGCTGTGCTCCCTCCCTCCAGTGCCATGTCTTCACTACTCTCATGCATTCCGAGCATCTTGCTCAACATGTCATGTCGTCTTTCAATCCTGAACCCCGCGACCCTTCTTATCCCGTCCCCTCTGCCTCTCCCCTCTTTTCTGACTCTCCCCCTACGCAGATCCCTGTAACACCCTGTACTGTGGTGAAAACGGCCAATGCAAACGTGATGGTAACTCGGCCACCTGTGTGTGCAACGATGGTTACGAGATGCAGAATGGGGCGTGCAACCCTATCCCTCTTCCACCTGCACCCGGTGGGTGATGCTAGCTTCACTTGATTCAGTGGCAATGTGTTCATCACTATCACGCGTTCCCAGCATCTCGTGTAAAGCATCTTGGCGTCTTCATTCTTGAACCCCACTACCCCTCATTTCGCATCCCTTCCACCCCCCCCCCCCCCAACCCCCTTCCACCTGTGATGTGGCGCGTGCACCTGTGATGTAGCACACGCAGCTGTGTGCTGTTGTGCTGCCTCTAGCGTGTGACAGTAACTCCTGCTGTTGCAGAGTTTTCTCACGCCTCCGTGTGCATCCCTTTTTATTAATCCTCCCCCTGCCCCTCCTTCCTGAAACTCTCCTTTGTTCAATTCTATGTGCCCCTGTTACCACTATTGGTGTCTCGGTCTGCCACGTTCTTTCGCCCCTGTAGGCGACTGTGCTGTTGTGCTGCCTAAAGCGCACATGCATCAGCACCTGCGTAAAGTGTTGTTGTGCTGCCTCCGGTGCCTCCAATGCTTTCAATAGCATGGAAACCATAGATGTTGTTCCCAACAACATCTCGTGTAAAGTATTTTGTCGTCTTCAGTATCGAAACCCACACCGCTCATTTCATGTCCCCTCCACCCCTCTCCCCTCTGCGCCGCCTCTACCCCCACCCAGAGTCATGCGATACGATGACCTGTGGAGTGAACCAGCACTGTGACAGCACTAATGGAGTGGCGTCATGTGTTTGTGACGTTGGTTTTGAGATGCAGACGGATAAGACGTGCAAGGGTGGGTGCTGAGTGTTGTGCATTCAATAGCTGTTGTGTGCTTCTGTGCCACAGCTTCTACAGCTGTTTTCTAGCGCGTGCAGCTGTGTGCTGTTGTGCTTCCTCTAACCTGTGACAGTAGCTCTTGCAGTCGTTAAGTTTTCTCACGCTGCTCTGTGCATCCCTGCTTCGAAGTCTCGTTTCCTGTTCAATCCCCCCCAGGCCCTCCTGCCTGAATCTTTTTTTTTTTTGTTCAATCATATCACTGTTCAGTGTGTCATTGTCCCACTCAGTCATTACACCTTATCTTTCTTTCTCCATCAACCCACCCCTGGTCCCACTGTTTGTGGCTCGGTCCGCCTTAGTTGGAGTATACGCGTTTCGCGTTTCGTACGCTAGCGTATAAACGCTAGCGTTTAAACGCTGTACGCATTTTTAGGAGTGTAAAAAACGCAGTGAAAACGCAGGGCCGGGCAGGTTAAAAGTTTTAGCAGGGCAGGAACGTACGGAGACTAGTTTTAAGAACGAGGTCGTCATGAAAAACTATGTCAACATTAAGCAATATTTTGACATTTCGCACTATTTCAACATTTTGCACTATTTCGACATTAGCAACTACGTCGACATTATGAACTATGTCGGCATTAAGAGCTATGTTGACATTCAGGACGAGATTGTCGCTGAGAACGGGTAGCTGAGGTCGTCGCTGAGAACTAGGGAAGCCAACTCCACTCAACATTGAGTTGGAAGGGATTGGGAATGAATGGGGTTGAGTGGGTTGTTCAGCGGTAAACAGGAGGGGTTTTTGTGCATCGGCTTCAAAATTCGAAGTCGAAGTTGAAATCGCGAATCTGCGAAGACTTGATTTGAGTTCGCTACTTCGCGAGCTCAAACCCAACTTAAGTTTTTTTTTCCGGTCTGCCCGTGCGTACTTCGGCGTTTTTTTCTTAAAAAAACGCAGCGTACGTATTTTTAGTGTGTTTATACTCAATACGCAAACTTCTCTGAGCGTATACTCCAATAAGCGGTCCGCTACGTTTTTCTCCCCGCAACCCCTTCGCAGATCGGTGCGATGGCTTTTCTTGTTCTTTCACAACCGATAACGGCTATGTTATCACTGATTATTCACACTGCGAGAAGTCGCCAGGCACAGGAAACCCATTGCTTGCAATTTTTTGATGGATCCACTTACTGTGTTGGTAAGTTCCACACCCATTATGCTACTACCTCTCGGTCTTTTTACCCCAACCTATGGACCTCCTACTTGACTCATTCCATCCCTGTCAGCCTCCTGCCTTCGAATTGTGACACTCCCCCTGACTGCCGTGTTGACTGCCATGTTGACCGTCGCGTTGGCTGCCGTGGGATTAGCACACGGCAATGTTAGGAGATGTTGATGTTATACTTACGTGTTGTAACATGCCACCTTAAAAGCTGTGCGTTTATCCGTTCACCATCTCTCAAATTCTCCATCTCCCGCTCTCCCTCTCTCCCTCTTTCCCCCTCTCCCTCTCTCCCTCTCTCTCGCTCTCTGCCTCCCTCTCCCTCTCTCCCCCTTTCCCGCTCTCCTCTCTCTCCCTCTCTCCCTCTCTCCCTCTCTCCCTCTCTCCCTCTCTCCCTCTCTCCCTCTCTCAACCTCTTACCTTACAACAGTGACAGACCTCACGCCTAGTGACAACTGACATTCAGACATCACATCCTGAATACATCGTGAGGTGTGTGCCAGTTTGGGAGTAGTCAGAGCTTGCTCTGACCTTTTAATAGGTTGGTTTTGGCCTCTATTCGCCTTTTCCGTTTACAAGCGTAGTCAGCTCTTCTTTTACCCTCCTTTTCTCTTGTTACTGCTTCTTTGATTATGTGTGATTTTGCTGTAGCAATTGTATGAGACTTATTGCTGTGCTGAAGGGTATGAGATCTAGCATGACAGTGAGTCCAGGTTTCCCTCACCCTATCCCCTTCACAGTGGACTCCTTCACCACCTTTGGTTTTCCACCCTTTCAGCTTGTTTGTCCCTTGGATCGTCATCCCCTTGTTCATTTCTCCCCTCAACAGACGAGGTGCCCTCAGAATAACCGCGAGGCACATGCACTCCTGTGATGACCATCCTCCTCTCTCCCATGGCGGCACACCCCCATCGCTCCCGAGACAGCACACCCCCATCACTCCCGAGACAGCACACCCCCATCGCTCCCATGACGGCATTGCTCCCATGACGCCCACCCTCATCAGCCAGTGCCGTCATCCCGACAACGACGCCCATCATCCCATCACCTGGTCTTCCAGCAGTTTTATTTCCTGCAAAATAGGGCGCAGAGGGCCAAGAGGCTGAAGGCGTGGATTGCGTGCATCAGGACCGCCCCTGCTTGAGTGTTGTTTGGAAGGGAGGATGGTGAGGAAAGGTTTGACCTTTTGGCCTTGGCTTACAAGGGGACAAGATCTCCATGCACCGGGGTACAAGGCATCAGCTGCATTCAGCGGGCACAGGTTTCCTTTTCCTGCTTTCTGGTTGCTTTTGGCCGAATGTGGTGTTTGTTGGTTGGCCATATAGGGAACCTGCTTTTGTTTGCTTCTTGCGGGGTTGGTAATATCTGTAGTACTTTTCAATAAGGGAATGTACCCCTCAGGGTACATGCCTATCTAGAATTGTTGTTGTGCTCCTATATATAGCAACTGTTTGCTGTGTTTTTTCCTAATGATTTTTGTTACTGATTCACGAACAAAAATGACCAGCAGCATTGAAGTCGCTGTTTTTTACAAGTACTAGCACAATCATGCCGTTACTTGATCTTGAAAGAACTGAATGGCTTGCCAGTCCAATCTTGCCGCTATCTGCACACCAATGCTGTGTACACGCTCTAATCATTACGCGTGAGCTGCGGATGCTTCGGACCTCGGCTCTTTCAAGTACCGATACCGTCTATTCCAGGAATTTTAAGACCCCACCGGGTTTCGTTTACGAGAGTCCCCCGGCTATGTGATTGCAAAATATCAACCTATCAGATTGTCCATGATTTTCCTGCACGACCTCCTCGGATGTCAACTCAATTGTATCCACAACGCCAAGACCTACGTTCCATGCAGTGTATCCATGTGCCATTTATTCGTCTCATGCGCTAAAAATGTTATTCAAGTAAAGGTGCACCTTGACTTTTACCCAGGCCCCAAATTCCAAGGGTATTTTACCCTTTTTGCCCTGATGGTAGGCCACTTTTTGGCAGTTACCCTTTTGAAATTAGGGTATGGAGATTTTTACCCTAGTGAAATCAGGATACGCTATAAAATACTCTTGTAGGTTTTTTTGTTACACTGACTGTATCAGGGTAGGGGCTGAACTACCCTTTTACCGAAACTCTTTTGTACCGAGGATTCCGCCACAGTACGCGCCAAGACAAAATGCACCACGGTCCCACTGGACCATTTGTTCGGCACACCCACTGGCACGCCAACAACGTAGAAGCAGGGCGGATGCACGCGCACACCTACAATTGGTCCGTTGAGCAACATCAAAGCCAACGCACCCGGTTTTGTGTGCATAACACTTTAGTGAGTAGTAACTGTTGTTGTAGTAAATATTTGTGTGAAACATTGTATGGGATATATTACCCTGCTGACATCAGTGTACCTGAATTTTTAGGCTGCTACAATCAGTGTACGAGAAAAATTACCCTACCAGTCCAGGTACGGGGGGCCTGCCACCCTGATTTGAAAGAGTGAGCTAAAACCTATTTTGGGCCCTGCTTTTACCCGAT